TATTCTACAACTAATTATAATCTTCCATATACTCAGGAACTAAGACCCTCTTTTCCCAGTTGAGGTTTCTTAGACTATCACTTATCATTTTAAAGTAACTTACTGGAAAGGCACACTTACACATTCCTTCCATATTTTATTCCATGATCTCTTAACGCTTACTTTTAGAAAGAAAATTCCCCTGAGTCTAATTTTCCTTTTTCTATTCTTAAGAAGTGGAGCATTGCCAGTGTGAGGCCTCTATAAAAAATGATTCTTAAACTGGAGATCTTACTAAGATGCAGATTGTGATGCACTGTCTCTGGGGTGGGGCCCAAGGTTATTCTGCATTTCCAGCAGGCCTCCAGAGTGCTAAGCACGGATCCATGGGCCAAGCTCTATACAACAGGATGGGTTAACTGTACTGCAGGTCCCCTCTATGACTCCATGACACAATTCTGTAAACTTCCTTGTTAATTTCACTCTTCACAGTAAAAACTGTCAGACATGACTCTCCAAGGTAGTGGTTATTTATGAAGAGCCCACTGCACAGCAGAGGCAACACACATCTGTACGGTGAAGATTATGGTCATTCAGTGTAACATGGTTGTTAAGAGTTTGGGATGTAGAATCAGAAAGTCCCCACTAACTATGGAACATTTAGCAAGTTACTTAGCCTCTCTAAACCCTTTCTTCAACTGTAAAACGGGGGTGACTGCTGTTACTTGCTACATAGGGTGGTTATGGAAATGAAATGAGATGACACGTGTAAAAAGCCCACTTGATTCCTGGCATGTGTTTTGTGTTTAATAAGTGCTAGCTTTCCCATTATTATAGTATACAAAGGCTATAGAAGATAAAAAAAAATAAGGAGGTGTTTGGTTTTGTTTTTATCCTGTCCTTAGAGAAGACATAATGTGGTGTGTATGTTAACTAATCCAAGGTGGAGAGAGACTGGTAAAGAAGAACAGAAAGTGCAATTGGACCCAGGAGAGGACGCAATTATTTTCACTTTAAGAACATGACAGCGGGCCCTTACTGAGAACCCCCTGTGCATCAGTCAGTCAGCGGCCTAGTGCTTTACATACGTTATTTAATCTTCACAGTAACCCTGTAGTAGGTTAAACCTCCAATCTCACTTACTAGAGAGGAAACTGTGAAGAGAAAGATTCCCTTGCCCATAACTAGGAAGTAGTTGATCGAGATGTCTGACTCCAGGATCCCCACCTACTCACTGCTTGTGCTATCCCGACCTAAAAGGACAAAACTGCCATAGCCGTTTGGCTCATGGAGAGCATTGGCCTACGGACTGAAGGATCCCAGGTTCAATTCCGGTCAAGGGCACATGCCCAGGTTGCAGGCTCAATCCCCAGTAGGGGATGTACAGGAGGCAGCCAATCAGTGATTCTCTTTCATCATTGATGTTTCTTTCTCTCCCTCTCTGGAATTCATAAAAATATATATTTTTTTAAAAAAGACAAAACTTAGGGTAGTCTCTGAACTGGGTTTTAGCAACAGGCAACCCCAGAACCATGGTGTGAAAAGGTGATTGTGAAAGAGAGTACAGTGGGGCCTTGACTTACGAGTTTAATTCGTTCCGTGACGGAGCTTGTAACTCAAATTACTCGTATGTCAGATCATTTTTCACCATTACAATGACACATGATGCTGGGCTGATGTTGTGGTGTTCACTGTGACGTTCACTGCACCAAATAGCGGTGGGTATCTGAAGCTGGCTCGTAACCTGAATTTTAGCTTGCAACTCAAAGCAAAAAATCAGCCAAGAGACGGCTGGTATCTCGAAAAACTTGTTAGTCGGGACACTCGTAAGTCAAGGCCGCACTGTATAGGTACTGCGAATAGCATGGGCAAAGGCAGGGACTGGAAAATGGGAGTAATTAGGGAAAAGAGAAATATTTGAATTGATTGGGGCCTGCATTAATAGAATTGAGTGAATGGGCCAAATAACTTGTATTCTCTGAGATTTACTAATACGACATTAATCTATAGGAAACAGACTGTTTTAGGGCTTCTTGGGTTCCCACTAATGGTGCTGTGTAGAAAAGACAACCTCATCGAAAAAGACCATAAGGCCTAGTAGTTAACATGTAGTTAGGAAAAATGTTCCCTAAGGATATGAAAGACCTGCATTTTTCTGTGTTAGATTTCAGTGTAATGTGTGCTTTCCTTTCCAAATGAATGGTTTATTCATCTATATAAACTTCCATCACCTAATGCTGCTGTAAGAGGAATAAATAATATCTAACTTCAGCAGCTATTTTCTTTGTTGTAACATTGGGATTATTTGTTCTCTTACTCAGCTTAGAGAACAGGCTCTGTCTAGTCTGTTTTATTATCTTGGAATTTCAAAGACTAGATCTAAAAAGCATAGCTAGCCAATTGCTTCACTGTTTTCCTACTCCTAAAACTAACTCACTCTCTCTGTCATTCCCTCCCTCTCATTGGGCACACAGACATGATTCAAGAGACATAGATATGTTTCTAGCTATACCATTCAATATGTGAACAATATTGGACGAGCAGTTTTTATGTTCTTTGGATCTATTGCACTGCAGGGATAATGACTTAACTAAAGCAAGGTATTTGAGGGTAACATATGAAAAGTATTTTACATTTATCAGGATAACATTGTTTTGTAGTTTTAAATGTTATTTCTAATAGTCATGATCACTTTTTCCTTTATAGATGTTATGTCCTAAGAAAAACAGCAGATAAATACCCTAAGTCTTTTTGTATTGACCTATTATTTTTGGTTATGAACCACAGTTAGCAGTATATCTGGCACTAGGAAGTAACTTTTAAAGTGGTAAAGAGCATGTGAGTAAGAAGCAGGGTTTTATAAGTTCTTAAGCTATGGTTTGCCTCTGAGGATCTAGGATAAAATAATAGGTAGGTCCTGTAGCTAAGAAGAGAAGTGGTTTCTAAGTAAGTAACAGGAAACCTCTTGGTGTACATAGAAGCTCTATAGAACAGAAATACCAGAAATCAATTTTACAGACAAATTTTAGCTTATTAATAAGTTCGGCTTTTTTTCTTGCCTGCTGTTTTTAAGGTAGCTAGAATACAAGGAATCCAATAGAAATTCAAAACTAAAAAGCAAAAGTTTGCACTGACTATTAAACTATAATTTGATGGTCAATGTTGACTGGTTGTTTGCTCTCAAACTTCACGGCACATGACAGCCCTGCTAGTTTCTCAGTAGTTAACCTATTAAAGCTCACTCTGGATTTTTTAAGAACAGATTTCCTTTGTTTTAACTTTTCTTCTCTAGTAAATTAAAGGACTAAGCTTATATGTCCTTAGACCTACTATCATTTTGTAGAGTGTAAATGCTTATCTATTAAAGAAATGGCATAACATCTACAGAAATTCCTTGATTTCTTATTGTTAAAACTGATCATTCTTAGATTTTATATATAAGACTTTCTATATAATATATGTATGTTCATTTATTCTGAAACTACATTCCGTACAGTGTTTAGATATAGATGCCTCCTGGGGGAAGAAAATCTCAACTTTGGAGGAAGGAGAAAATAAAAATCCCAGCTCTGGGCTAAAGGGAAACCACACTGCTAGCCTCTGTTTAGGACGTTTTATGGGGAAGGACATCGGGCCAGGCCTTGGATATGCTCCAGGCAAGTCCAAGCTCTAACTGTGAAGCTCCCAGTGTTTGTGATAAACCTGCAGAGCATCTATCAGGGTGGATCAATCTGTGGTTTCAAGAAGGAGAAATGAGTAACTTTGCATCTATTACCTTCTATGTCAGGGGTTGTCAAAAGTTAGGTCTCAGGACCTTTTTTACACGCTTAAATGTTAATAAAGGACCCCAAAGAGCTTACTTTGGAAGATTTTAGAAGACACAGGATCCACAAGCATGTATTCCATTTGCTGTCAGGATGATGATGGCAATAGAGGCTCTGGAGAATTTCACTGTAAAAGCATGAGTAGCAAAGGCAAATAACATCTCAGTACTTACCTTAAAATAACTTGGCCCGATGAACCTCCAGGGGTCCCAAACGACACTTTGAAAACCACCGCTTGAAGCACTGTCTGGAGAAACAAGTTTGAACAAACAGAACTGACCTTACTGAGTTTAACAATATGGTTTACTGTATTCACTGGGAAAATGTTTCATTTATGGAAAAATGTGTTGCATTCACCTTATGAGAACTGTGTGTGTGTGAGTGTAAATTTTTTTTGAAAGGCTAAGAAAGCACATCTCTCAGAGGTGGGGGTCCTGCCCAGACCAGACTTTCGGTCTCCTGAGTACCAGGCCACTTCCTAGCCACAGTCTCCTGCTGACCCCACTGAGGTGGTGGTATTATTCTATACTCAGGAATCAGATTAGGGGGGTGGGTGAAGTACAGGCTTAAGGAGAAAGCCAGATTCCCAGGCCGGAAGTTCCTCTGAAGGTTCAGGAACCAGAACCTCTTGAAGAAGGGTGGCGACTTGCACAGGAAAGATTAGGAACAGACGTTCCCTCTGACAGAAAGGTAAAAGCTAGGAAGGGGAGTTTTCCATGATTGCTTTTCCTTTTCACTCCCAAAAATGTCACATTTAGCATACAGTTTTAAAGATATCTCCTCCCTCCTACACACATCTTCGTTATAATACTACATTGTAGATATTCCTGATTTTTCAGTAAAGTGGAGGTTTCAGTATGTAGAGAATAAAATTTAGGTGAGAGAGAAAGGGCAGCATCGTCAACTTCCCTTCCGCTGAGGTCAGCCGGCAGACAGGGCACAGTGTGCAGGGCAGCCAGCCTCGGCTTTGAACTCTGTCCGTGGAGGGTACAGGGCATAGACACAGGCTGACAGCAGAGGGGGTGCTGGGGAGCAGTTATGGGGATAACTGGAGAGTGAGACTAACCCACTTCCCTTTTCAAATACACGAGAGGAGGATGACCCCTAAAGTTGCTTTCACTGTCATTCTCCTTTAAAAGTGACTTCCTATCTTGGCAGTTTCAAATCAGTATCACCTTTTGGCCTTTAATGCAGATCTGAGACTCACAATCTTGAACAATATGAAAATCTAGCATGCTGGTTTTGAAGGGATTTCTCTTGCATCTAATTTTCAATTGATTGTCCTTTTTCATTTGCCAAAATGCTTTCTTGTCTCTCAATTATAGATTTAAATGGCAGGTAAATTTGTTCAGTATCTGTGCTAATAAGAGAAATAGCAGAACTACTGATCAAACTATTTTAAAAACTCTTCTCTAATCTATAACCTGTGATTTATTTCTCAGGAACTGGCCTCTATTTTTGGTTAAAGGCAATGTGATAAAAGTCAAATCTCACATTAAAAAATGATGTATAAAGACACTGGGGGGTAGGGGAGGCCAAGGTATTGTCAAGGGGGGGGGACACATATGTAATACCCTTTGTAATACTTTAAGCAATAAAAAAAAAATTTAAAAAAATGATGTATAAAGTACCTGGCTGGGTGCTCAGTTGGTTGGAGCATTGTCCCATACACTAAAAGGTTGCAGGTTCAATCGCCTGTCGCGGTGTGTACAAGAGGCAACTGATCAATGTTTCTCTCTCTGCCTTCCTCTCTCTAAAAAAAATAAAAACATCACTGGATGAGATTTTTTTAAATGTTGTATATCTATCTCCTTTTTAATATAAGGATAGATATCCTAATACTTAATAAAAATTTATTTTATATTTAAGGATATAAATCTTTAATTTAAAAATATAATAAAACACATTATAAATTAAATCTATTGAAACGTACTCTTTAATTAAGAGTGTCTACAATAGCACTGCTGGCAGGTAATATTATGTACCACATTCTATGCAACCATTCAAGTCTTCATCTCCCCAAAAATGTAATTACAGATCCAGCTGGCATTCAAAGCAAGTACTGTAGCCACATCTGCCTAATGCGTTTTATTGCAGCTATTCATCTTTTAAGTAGGGTGTTATAAAATATGCTAAAAATAAGTCATTCTTTATTTTTGTAACTAAAGTATAATTATTTTGCTATTTCAGTGGGCATAAAATTTAACAATTCCCCTGTATACAGAGTTCCAATTTTAATTAGTGCTATTTCAGATTACTGTTAGAATGCTTTTTTCATAGCTTCACTCTGTTGGTACAGTCTCTCTCTTACTTCTTCAATATGGGATATGAATAAGTGAGAACATTCCTTTTTTTCTCCCCTTTCTAGTCTTCCAAAGCAGGAGTTAATCATAAAATAATGGACTAGTAACATTGTAAAATATTTTAATGCGTCAAGGCAATTCAAAACTTCAAGTCCTTTTTCAATTGAGGTATAGTATAAATGAAATATACTCAAGCATACATAGGTGTCAGTATCAGGAAACATAATGAAACTACTATATGATAGTATCATATTCATCACCCATTATCAACGTTCTTCATCAACTCATAATACTTAGTGCTGACATTCAGCACTTCCCTTATTTTCACCACATTACATACAAATCTTTTGCTGTGAGCTTTTAATTAAGTAATCAAGAAATCAAGCTGTTCTACTTTTCCTCAGAAGGAGAAATAACAAAGTCAGAGATATATCAAAAAAGAAAAACTTACTCTTCATGGAATCCTCTGCAGCAGGTTAAGATAACTTTTCCTCCTATAAAGATAAAAAATCACATAATTTTTAAAGTTTCTTCACTGTTCTTTGAGAGAAAAGTGGAAAGGAGAAAGGAAACATTAGCAGAGCAACTAGAAATCATGTTAATACTGTGTTAATATTTCATTGAGGTATTCCTATAATTTGGACTTGTCTATAGAGTTATCGGCAAAAAAAATAAATAAATAACTTAGAATCATGGCTGATTTTGTCTAAAATCTCATGAAGTTTTTGTGCGTAACCTAACCATAATTGTTCAGAATAAATTAAATATAGATTTGTGTTGAATAAAAAGGTTTTAAGATGAAACCTTTAGCGATAATTGTAGGTTTGTGAAAAGAAAACTTTGGGGAAAATTTTTAATGTGTGGTCAAGCTGCTAAGATTCAAAATGGATTAATTATGTAAGTGGATTTAAAATATCAAAAGTAAGCTGATGCAGATTTAGAGTTTGTTCTCTTTCTGTTAAAAGGATGAAGTTTTTTGGACTGTGGGTCTGCTCCTGGTAAGATATTGTTTTCTGCCTAGAAAACAAAGATGCTATCTTTTATCAAAATAACTTCCTGGGTTTTGTGTTGTCTTAATCAGGTCTTTGATTATGTAAGAAAACTGAATCCTTTCCATAGGAAAAGTTATGCTCTCGTTGACGTTCATGAAAAGGCAGCAGCAACAAAATGAAAATGACCCCTCATTGCCAGACTTTTGCTGTCGGGTGTCCTTGTAACGTGGCAGCAGTCTGCTCCTGAATCAGGGAAATTAATGTGGGTCAACAATGGCTGGACATTAAATGAATAGACAGGGCCTGGGCACCCCACGATGGCTGCTCGCTTCTTCCCGGGCCCTGGCAAACCTCATTTTTTCAGTTTTGGCATTCTTTCATGTACCAAAAGCATTTAAGCTGGACTTCATTCAACTGCCACTCGGTATGGGTTATCAGTACGCCCTTGTTGTTGGGTGTATATTTTCTGGAAGGGGTGATGCTTTCCCCAGCCACGAGGCTAAGGCTATTGCCTTCACAGTGACAAACTGTGCGAAAATGTTTCCCACTTGGGGTATACCTCAAGGCTTTTTACATACATAGCAGCCCCACCACATGCCATGGGATGGTGGCTTGGGACCTGTCATTGCTTTCCCTCCCGGCCTCTGACTGTGGGCTCATTACATGGCTGACATGTTAACCTATGGAGATTTGCCTCTGCTGCAGAACACCTTGCGGCCTTGCTGAACCACCTACAACAGTGAGGATGGGGAGTAAATCCACAGAAAATTCAAGGTCCAGGCACCGCACTAACGTTCTTGGGAGTCACATGGTCAGGTAAGACCCACATTGTCCCCGAGTCTGTCACAGACATCCTACAAGCCTCTCATTACCACGAAGTGTGAAAGAGGTACAGGCTCCTGTGGGAATTTTGGGGTACTGGTGAACAGTTATACCCCATTTAGCATAATGCCTTCAGCCATTATATCCCCTGGTTTAAAAGGGCCCTGTATGGGGCTAGGGAGCCAAACAACAGGCTGTCTATGGAAAGGCAAAAATACTGGTCAACTAGATTAAAGCCCTTGGGATCCCCAGGTGGGGTTGACATTTGAATCAGAGAGTTCAGTAACGGGGGAAGGCATGGGCTGGGCATGATGGCAAAAAATAGCAGAAAGAGAGGACATCCCTTGGATTTGGGTCCCTGTCGTGGAAGGGGGCAGAAATCGGTTATACTCACTAGAACTGCAATCAGTGGCAGTGTATATAGATAGTGCTAACACGGGCGGAGCCTCTTACCAAAGGGAAGCCAGTTACGGAACTTCCCTTCCCGTCAAGAACTGGATCGACAACATGTTCCACTGAACTGCATCTGCCACGGCTCAGACTCCTATGCTGCCACATGGCGAGTATTCCTGCAGCATACGAGTACTACCCTCCAGATGCTGCTGCTCCTATCCCTGTGTCAACCTCTGCAACCTGCAAAAAGAAGAGGAGAACTTCCAGCTGGGCCCTGGGACACCAACGGCTCAGCCAGGGTAATCCCTCTATCCGGATGGCAGCTTCCACCTGACCATCCACTGACACTACCTGGGCTGCTTTATGAGCTGTCTGGTTGGTGATCGTACCTGAACCTTGGCCACTGATCCTGTGTACAGCCAGTTGGGTTATGGCTTAGACCAACGATGGCGAACCTTTTGAGCTCGCCGTGTCAGCATTTTGAAAAAACCCTAACTTAACTCTGGTGCCGTGTCACATATAGAAATGTTTTGATATTTGCAACCATAGTAAAACAAAGACTTATATTTTTGATATTTATTTTATATATTTAAATGCTATTTAACAAAGAAGAATCAACCAAAAAAAAAATGAGTTCACGTGTCACCTCTGACACGCATGTCATAGGTTCACCATCACTGGCTTAGACAGTAGAAACAGAGGAGTAAATAATTATGAACAAGCATTAATGGAGACAATAGA